TCTTTTTAACAACCAACAAGTTTTCGCCCTACATATACAAAGGGCGAAAATTTCCGAATATTTCTGAGGCGAAATTGAAAGAAGGTGTATTCGATGGACTTCAGATTCGGACATTGTTCAAGGATGCAACATTTTTCACTACAATGAGTAGCGTTGAGAAGAGTGCTTGGACTAGTTTCAAAGTTGTAGCGACAAATTTTTTAGGAAACAACAAGAGTCCTAAATACGAAGAAATTGTATTAAAACTGATAAAAGACTTCCAAGACCTGGGATGTTTGATGGACTACAAGTTGCACTTCCTTCATTCACATCTGGATTGGTTTCCTGAAAATCGTAGAGATTATAGCGAAGAACAAGGCGAACGATCTCATCAGGATATGAAGGTTATAGAATAGCGATATAAAGGAAGATGGGATCACAACATGATGGCCGATTTATGTTGGTTCTTAGAAAGAGAAACGAAAAATACAGGGACTAAACGAAAGCGTATCCCTTTGCATAGATCCTTTGAAGAAAAGAGAACACGTTATGGCAACAAAAATAAGAATGATTTGTAGATATCGTTTTCTTTTATTGAGAAAGTAGAGTATTCTACAGGTTTTATTGCATTCTCAATCTTCTAGGCTGTTATCTCATCTCTCAGCACAAAAAGTAGATGGATAGATGGGTGGATGGGTGGGTTTTATAGGTGGTATAGGTGGATGATAGAAAGATGTATGAATTCATAGATGGGTGGGTGGAAAAAAAAAGGAAGCAGAACTCTGCAACATAAATTATGCCATGAAAATGGCGTTTTTAAGCATTTTGATCTATTTTCTGTTTTTGAATGAAATTGGACCAGTTTGTCTGACTCTATGATGATAAATTGGAATTAAACGAGAGAAAAATCATACGTCTAGTGAGCTGGTAGAATAATTTGACTTTTTATAACTTTCGTCGATCGTAAATGACGTTTTTTGTGAATTTTGACCTGTTTTATGAATTTTCCCGAAAACTCGGAATCGTTGGGCCAAATCTGAAGGCAGATTCGGATTCAGCGGAAAATAATACATGGAAATACATGGGTCTGAATACCAGATCCAATACTTTTTTTTGTGCGGCTGTGTTATCAAAACTGTGTCAAAAGTGTTCATTAATTTGCTTTACAAAATTTATTTTTAAAACATATATTTTATTATTACCTTTTACATGTTTTTACTGTATTATTAAGGTATTAAGCTAATTCAAATATATTCAAAACTATTTTTTCAAAAAATATATTTCGATAAAGTATTTTCGAAAATTTTATTAGTTGTTATTCTTCTGACAATGACAATTGCAGGCAGCAGAGCGAAAATAGAGAGTTTCCAAAATGTTAACTTGCTTTGTGTTTATTAACTGTTCTTAGTGACAGATGCTTCTAATTAGATAAAGCTACGTTTAAAAAATCAACCTCTTTTCCGATCCCTATAACGGAAGGAATTATTATTTTCCTTTTTAGCTTAAATATAAAAATAATAAAAAATGCCGCAAATAAACAATATTTCATTCAATGTTTCATAGATATTGTAAATTGTATTTCTTCGGTTTTGTCATATAGGTATTGTAATCTTGGATTTGTATAAAAAATATTTTACATTTTTTTAGTTTAATAAATAGGTAATTTAAGAAGAGTCGTATATTTACTCTTTGATGTAAATTGAAAAAAAAGAAACACCCGAAAATGGATTGATTTTAAGCAACTGATCATACTATTTTGATTTCAAATAATGTAACAAAATGATTTTCGCAAAATATCTATTTTTTATTTTGGAAAATATCTGTAGGTATATATCATTTTTCGTCCCCTTTCAAGTTTCGCGCTTTGAGTATGCCAGAAGTATAGCTCGAAGGTAACAAAGTAACGGTTATTTTGTCGGAACGGAACCGTTACAAGCGTGGAATCGTTTAGCCCATCACCAGGTAACAGGTTTAGTTCTTATGAGTTGAATAAGTATTGTGTGTAGGGTATCTAAGTCTTAGGACAGGAGCAAAAATCAGTATTAACAACGACACGACGAGAATCGAGGAAACATATTGGTGCCCGCTTTAGTTTAAAGGCTTTGAACACAAGAATATAAAAAACGGATTCTAATAGTTCAAATCTGAAATGTGTAAACCTATACACCTTTTAAATATGTTTAGAGCATATTTAGGCCAGCTTCAGACAAACTGACAAGTCTATGACGTCTTGAATTTTTTTCTAAAATTTTGAAAATTATACCGTTTTTATAAGTGCAATAGTAACTAATGATTTCCAATAGAAATGTTAGCACCTATAGCAAAAATAAAAATATATAAATTACAAATATTACCGTTAAAATTCTAGGCCAGTGCCTTAATGTTTTTCAAAAATTATCTAGTATAATTTTTTAGACAGATTGCCTAATTTTTTAGGAACTTTTAATATGATAACGAAAAGTCAACATGAGTACCTACTCCCATCTTAATAAAATTTAGACTGCATTGATGTTAGAATATTCTGTGATCTTAGCAGAGAATTCGACTGCATCACTAACTAACCGATTATGGTATTATAGAGACACCTATAGGTTCCTTGAAGGTAAACAACACTAAATGAATTTGCAGTATTTAGATCAACATATAGTGAGAAAGTAACATCAAATAATTTAGATGTAAATATGGGTGCTGTTCAGGGATACATCTTAAGCCCCATTATGTTTCTGTTATACATAAATGACACATAAGTCTGTACCTCATTTTACTCTGCATGCGGATGATGTATTTCTAATAATTTCTAATATCTGATTAATTAATCCACCAGAAGAAATGTAAATAAACTTTGACGTCGTTGAAAAATTATTTTTCTCAATATCAGATCTATATGAATCCTAAGAAAACTCAGGTTATACAATTTCACAGCAGACAAAAGAAATGTGACAATTTAAATATTGATCCCAGTAACATCAACCTCAAATCCGAGAAAATTGTTAAGTTTATTTGCATTCACTTATTGTTAGATGAATGGCTTACTTGGAAATATTAATTGTGAGATTATAATATATGTTTTTGTTTCGCAAAAAATAATTTTACGATGTATTTATTGTTGCTATACCAAGTAATCCATAAAGAACTGAAGATTTTAAAATTACTATTAACATACATACAGTAAGAAATTTGACTGCCATTACTTCAGCATGAGATAGAGTAATCATAAATGAACAAAAAGTTGTAAATTACAGGGGCGTAAGATTAACAGTTTTCAAAATACAGCAAGTATTAATATTGGGGAGTTTCATCATAATGTGACAACAGCGCTTAACAGCTGATCAGACCACGTATGCACGCGGCAAACTTGCCCTACGGAATAACAAAAATACAAACAACTGTTATTGTGAAACATTTAGGAAATTTCAAGACAATTGTTTTCCAGTTTTTAAATAACTAAAATAAAATGTATCTAAGTATCGATTTTGTAGTACGAAGATAGTGTTGTGCTTAAATTTTAACTCGAATTTTAGTAATTATGAATCTCTTAAAACAGGATCTTAACTTTTAATCAAATTATGAATTTGAAAAATATGTAATTAATGTACCCAAAGATTCACGTCTTTCAAATAATCATATGTATTAAAAGGTACTTACCAAAAAGCAAAATTCAGTAATTTTTAGACGCACAAGTACAAAACAAACTACAATATATGCCCAAAATGTCCACCACCATTTTCGATGCACGCACGACACCTTCGAATCCAATTTTCGCATAGTGGCTGGAAAATTATCACGTATAGTAAACATTTTAAAAAGCAAGGAGAAACATGTCAAGAAAGTGGTACGCAAAAAACACTCCATCTCGGTCAAATTCCAGATACCAACTGAATTGCGTATTGCTGGTTGCTGGACTGCTTAGTGTCTTGTGTTAATTGCCGCGGCGTTGTCTTCACATTGTTCGATATGACTTTTATCGAATTTTAAATTTATTATAACGCTAATAATTTTTTAGAATTAAGCATAAAAAAGTTAAAAAAAGCGAGAAACATTGTATTTTATGGTATTCTATGCACGCAGTTATGTCAATATTCCTTAATTAATAGAACTTATGTACATCAAATTGGAGATTTTGATAATATTTTTTCTTGCAAATGGTTTGAGTTTAGGATCCATGTCATACAAGGTTTTTTTGTTTATTTTAATGTATTCTATCGTCTGTTAAAATTAAGGCAGTCAAACTAATACCCTGTATATTTGGAACAAGTGTAATATTTTTAAAAATGACAAAATATAAATACTTGACAGAAGAATAGGTTTCTGAACAAAAAATAACTGGCAACTCAACCCAATTTATTGGACCTAAAATATTCAATAATTTTCCACAAATTGTAAGGCAGAGTACGACTAAAATAATATTTAAGAAGAGGTTAAATGAATTTTCAAAAGAAATATTCTAACAGAATATTTTATCTTTACTGAGCTTTAGTTAGATGTTAGATTTAAGTTTATATGACTATTCCGATACAACTGTGTTTTATTGTCATAACAGCAAGATGATTGAATAAACAATAATAATAATAAAGGAGTTTACATGTTGTAACTATTTTATACAGCAATAAAGCTATACAAAATATCTTGATATATTTCCTCTTTAATAAGATACGTGTCTAATAATAAAATTGAAAGCCAAACTATAATAACTTTTTATTCTTCCTATAAAATAATTTCTTTTTTATATCTTTGACATTGAAATAATCAATCACCCAATACAATCTTTTGACAATGTCATATGAATACTACACGTGATATTTATCTTAAAGCTTAATAAATAATGAAATGAATTGCAGCCTGAAGAGCATAAATTTGTGTAACATCCGGTGCATAATTATATGGAAAACTACCAGCCCACAAAAGTTAGATGTAACTGGAAAAGCTTATTCAAAAATATGTTGCAGCCAGTACGATAAATGTCTACATATCCACGTGCATTGTTCTTTATTGTACTTCAAAAGGCTGCTATATAAATATAAATTTCCGAGTTGATAATCATTTTATAAACGGGCATTTTATTAATTGTCTACATCATACAGTTAACATTAGGGTGTAGGTTGTCAGAATAGTCTGTTCGCGAAGGCAAATATGAGGTACTTCTAGTGAGGATTACAAATTTGCGTTGTTGCATTACCATCTAGTTGTTCCTTTTTTAATGTGTTCTTTACCAGGTTGATGTGAATGTGTGACTTTTCTTGTGACATCGACGCTGTGCATATAAATGAATCCTCCACGAATACAGGTTTTTTCCTGTGCGTCAAGTAAGTGACCAGATTTGCATGTGCATTTTAATTAAGTGTATTAGGTAATTACAGTATAATGCTACCATTAGAAAAGTACAAAATAAATTGTATATTTTGGTAACTGTTAGTATTTTGCTGGAATGTATAATTTCGTCTGAAAGTGTAACATCATTTATAGTAAATAAGATAAAAAAAAAATGGAAAGAAGATAAGGAAAATACTGTTGTCTCAGTTTTCTTTAATATATGTCCTGCGAATTTAAGATTAGCAGGAAGTTGACGCGACTAGATTTTTCTAGTCCAGTCTAATTTAAATCTTAACTTCTATCTCTGTCTAAAGTATGTCAGTGAAATTAGAGAGTGATATTTGATTCCAATATAAAATAATATCACTCTTTGAAATGAAAACATTGTTACAATTCATATTTGCATGCAATAAACAAAAGAAATTGTAAAAAATAAAATGATAATGTTTGTAATTGAAGGCCCAGCGAAAGAAAGAAATAGGTGTATAATTGCGAAAAATATACTACTTTGGTTTAGTGTAAATATGAAATATGTAGGCACTTATCCTATCCTTGAAATTTTTTTTCGATTATAATGAAATTTATAAAAATACAGTGGGATGTTGCATTTCGGAGATACACACCAAACATTTGTTTCTTAATTTAATATTTTTGATTTTACCCTTTTTTTCTGATTACAGTGACATATTGCACAAACTTATATATATCTTGCCCATATTTAAGATTGTCAAGAAACCAGTGCATGGTTATGTTTTCTGCTGTTAAATTTACTAAACAAATTTTTAAGTTCTATGTTAAAAAAAGTATCATTATAAAATTTGTTTGATAATTCAAGCTAATGATAAAAATTCCATGCAAGTTTCTTTACATGTTCTGTTATTCATTTCGTTGATGATAGTAATTTCTTTCAATATTCTTTCCCTTAAATTTTATAAATTATTATATTTGTTTACATTATCTTTCGGAATCCTCCATAAAAAGAACTATATGGGGGTCGTCAAATTAGAACTTCTTGTGTTCCATAAAATTATTTTTTCATAAAAAAAATTATTTGTATATGATAACAGTTACAAAAGTAAAAGTAAATTAGAATATTTCATATTTAGTCAAATTGCAAACATCGAACCGGACAATATCTAAAGAAAATATCATTATTTTTATTTCAAATGTAAATTATTTTGGTAACCTTGAGTAGCAACTAGAAAAAAAATATATATACATAAATTTTAGGATATTAAAGTTAACTTTTTCGAAACAAATTTAATAAATTGAAATAAGTGTACCATTTTTTTCTATATTAACGTATTGTGTTCAAATTTAATAAGTGTACAATGCTAAGTACTGAATTTACTACTTAAAGCTGTTTGAAAATGTGAGCATTATTAGACTTAATTTCTGTTGGTTAGTTTTCCAAAAGATTTTGAAAGAACATATTATCTACTGAACGGACAAATATTGTTAAGATAATTCAAACAAGTGTAATACAAAGAAAGACAGGTACACGTTGTGTGGAAATTTAACATTTACATTGTGGTTATATTTGCAATGTAAAATTATTGTAAACAAATTTTATATGGGTGACATATAACCTATAAAGTATGTCATATCTTAATTGTCAATGTTATTACTTAATGGTTTCTGGCATAAGGTGTTAACTTTGTCCCTACTGGTGATGATATTAACTTTACTATGCGGGTGTAATTTAATGCTGACGGGAACTGTAGTCTGCTGAGTAGTCGTTTGCGACAACAATATTACTTAAAAAAAATCTGAAATTTTCAAACATTTTGTATTAGTCTCTGTTTGCGTAATAATTGGGAAAATTTTCATGTCACTGTTTTAACCATGTAGTTTTTCGTATTAAACAGAAATTGAAAGAAGTTGTAAACTGGTGGTACATAATTTATTGCTATACCTATGTATACATAAATTGAACTAATTTGAGCAGGTTTAAAGAAAGAGATATTTAGTTTTTCCTTGCATATAGAAATTGTACCGAGTGTTTCTGAAATAAGTGCGTTCCTTTAAAGGATTAATAGATCGATCAACTTATTTTAGGCCAAAAATTGTATGAATGTAGGTCGTAATTCTCTTCATTTCAAGGTATACATACCAATTATCTAAAAATACTATATTTTCTAAAGTATTTCTGAAGACGTAATTTGATGGAACTTGAGCTACTCTTTATACTATAAGAATAAAAATTGATACATTTGTGACAACCAGTAGCGGATATACGAGGGGTCATTAGCACTGTGAGTCTCAGTCCGACGCCAATGAGTATCCTGAAAATTGAGTTGGTGCATTTTATTACATATTTAATTTGTCAGAAAAGAAATCTCGTACAGTTTGTTCGATTTTAGACTTATTGTGATGTTTTTTATTAAAGTGAGCATACACAGTTATAGTCCAACCAAATTACATTTGGAGAACAAAAATAATTGTTACCTGGACTTTTATAAGGGGAAATGGTAAAAGGGCTTATGATAAACGAAAAAATATAAATGCGTGAGCAGGGGCGTCAGAGCATATTTGCATTGCCACTTTTATCGCTCTATTCAATGGCGTCAACATATTTGCAATCCCACGTTTCGTCTTCGACGGGCCATCATCAGATTAATTTTTTTTAAATATATCGCTACTATTTTTATGACAAAATCTAGTCATTTTTAATTCTGTATTAGATGATATTACTATTGTAATCGCTTAAAAAGGTTTTTAGCTATCATTAAAAATTTTCCTGAGAACGGCTTTGAACGCTTTCAAAATACCTGTATCTATTAGAGGACAAAGAGGGAGAGAGGAGAGAATAAAAGACAATACAGCAAAAAATATCCAACAATTTTAATAAACCCTAACTTAATAAAAAAATAATACGAATTTATGAAATATTTTATTATTTCTAATTAGTATTGCTAACAGTAGTAAAAATTTGTTGGATATTTTGTGCGACTTTTATACTGTTATGACCAGAGAGCGGACAATTTGTGTCTTTAACCTTGAACATAGATATGTCATTCATAAACCTAGATACATTATCCATGACGCAGTGGCGTGTCGGATATGCATCGGAAATTTACGTGATAATTCACGAAAATTCCACGGTACATACATTTTTAGGCGTTATAAAATATTTAGAAAATCAAAAATTGTACACTACATATTTATTACATAAAGTTCGGTTAAAAATAGTGTCGTTCTTTATATATCCTCAGGCGACGCACATGATAGAATAGTCCAACTCACGCTCCATTCATAACAGGGCTGCAGTTTGAATTCTGACCAATAGGAATTCGATAAACGCAACTGATGTCGACGGACGGACTAGAGATGGGCGCGAGTGTCATTTCATTTCTTTAGAACTAAATTAACTTAATTATTTTCTCGTTATTTAACCTGTTCACATGATTTATGGATTTTAAATAAAGGGTATAAATCTTCGCGAGGATAATACGATATATTTGCTATACATAATAATTATATTTTGCATAGTTTATACACAATACATTTTTGAACGCGTACACATCTCTACCAAAATTTGACCTATTCTTCGGGTTAAAGACACACATTGTCCGCTCTCTAGTTATGACTTCATCCAATAGATATTTTGAAAGCGTTCAGAGCCGTATTCAGGAAAAAATTTAAATTATAGCTAAAACAAGCTAAACACTTTTTAAGCTATTACAATTGTAATATCCTCTAATTCAAAATTAAAAGTGACTTTAGATTTTGTCATAAACATAGCAGCGACGTATTTAAAAAAATTAACCCGATGATGGCCCCTCGAAGACGAAACGTCGGAAATTTTGACGCCATTGTAATAGAGCGAAAAAAGTGGCATTGTAAATATGTAATTTATTTTAAAATTCGTTTTCAAATAAAGCCAGAAAAAACTAAACAATTTTGTAAAATTTCGGGTTTTTCCGGATATCTCCGGAACTACCCGGCATTTTAAAACTTTCTAAACAGCATATTGTTAGGTATAAAAAAACACAATCATTTACCGTTTCCTAGGTCCTTGGACACACTGTATATCTATGAATTCATCAAACTAACAAAAAATAAGTACACTAATCGATCCTACGGAAAAAAAATTATTATTTATTTTATTCACTATTCGACTTAACGTTTATAGCAATACTGTATAAAAATAGTTTTGGGTCAAACAATGAGACAGTTTTTTTAAATGTTTTTTCGTAGAATTGAATGGTGTAATCAGTTCGAATGTTTTTTAATTTAAACAAATTATCAACAATAAGTGAAAAATTCATTGTTGCAAGTCATTTTTTACTTTTTTGCATTTTTGAGCATGTTTTTGAGCTGTGATTACAAATTTTTTTATTTCACCAAAAGGTATATGTCAAAACGAAAAAAATGATTACCGGCAGAATTCTGTACGATGATTTTTTTTAGTAGAATTTTTCTTTGAAAAAAAAAGTGTTTCAAGCCGAAAAAAATGAATATCTCAGAAACTTCTTGATTTTTTTATCTAAAAAAATTGGAGGATATTATTTAGGACAGAGAAAAGTATACTTTCACCAAGTTTCGTCAAAATTAAATTATTTTTGCGGAAATGAGAAATAAAAACGAAAAATCAGAAAAAAACCTGTTTTTCGCATTTTTCTCGGAAATTTTGAGGTTATGTTAAAAAGTGACCGCTACAAAAGTTGTAGATTTTTACATGATCTACAACTTTTGTATTGGATAGTTTTTTGTTTGACGTCAAAATTCGCCAGAAATCCCAATGATACAATTTTTTATAACTTTTCAACCCCCCAAATCAACCCTCCGCCGCCCCTGCTCACGCATTTATTTATTTTTTTCGTTTATCATAAGCCCCTTTACCATTTCAACTTATAAAAGTCCAGGTAACAATTTTCTTTTTTTTTTTCCCTCTAAATGAGTTATTTTGATCGGTTTATTAAGTAAATTGAAACTAACTCTAAAACTATTCGTTCTATAAAACTGTTTATGATAATTTTTTGTAAAATACATAATTTGAAATACAATGCAATGTCAAAAGTTCAAAAAATTATTGGCGTAGAAATTATTCGTTTTCTAAGGAAATAACTCTTAATATCTTATCAAAACTTCTACACCAATGACTTTTTAAAACATTCGACACTTCCAATGTATTTAAATATTCCTAACAAAAAATTTCTAGAAGGAATGGTGTTGTTAACTCACATTAATACAGAAAAAAATCAGAACCCTAAAACGGCTCGTTCTTCTAACAAAATATAAGAAATCTGTTTCCTTAGAAATCAATGCGTAATAAAAGTCACTGATCGCATTTACAAAATATTTATTGGTGTCGAAATTCTAAGACTAACACCCTTCCACCACAGTTGATTACATTTGTAAGCCATCTTAGCAGATTTTTATATTTACACAGATACATCAGCGGCCCAGGTTTTATCAGTCTGTAACAAACATCCTCAGAGAGGTTTAAGAAAATATAATATATTTTTATAAAACACCCTGTATCTAGAAAACGAACCGAATTACGACGACTCACGTTCACATGAAATAAAAATGCTTAAAATAATTTGTGCTATTACAGCCCTTGGAAGAAACACAGTATAAAAATTTCCACAAAGATTTTCTCAGAAATACCTCAAACATCTCAATTTTATTTATTTATTTATTTATTTTATAAAAAACATGCATTGAGTTTTTTTAGCATTCTCTATAGCTTTTACGAGTCTGCAAAAAATGTACTAAATTACTCTAAAACAAAATGAAAATTTGAATGAAAAATGTTTTTAAAAATCAAAATGGATCTGGATTTTTTTTGACACGTTATCTGGATAGTTATATAGATTTTTTTCTTTACTGTATAATACAAATGACCTTAGACTGTAATCGAGTTTTGTATACTTGAAACAAGATTGTTAAGAAAATTAGCAGGGGAAATAATTTTGCAAGTGCCATTATCTTTAACTGCCAATAAATTGAAAATAATTTGACTTGCATCACATATTCAGACGGACTAAAAAAGAGCAATTTGTATCTTCTGCATGCATATTTCTTTTCTGACAGTTATGTTTCATGAGTGTGTGTGTTTTTTATAACTCTTTTTAGAATTATGAAACAAATATAACTTATAGAACTAATTATTATTTCTTATTTAATTTATCAGTAAAAAAGGCAAATGGAGAAGCAAAAATCAAGAAGTATGCTGGATCTGATTCACTTGATTCTAATGCATATGCGGAAACAGACAATGAAAACAGGTAATTATCACCTATTATTTGTAAGGTATTAAATTTAAGTTTTAAATCTTTATATACTAAACTCGCACATTTCGTTTTATCGACAGATCGAAAAAATAAATTAACGGATTAGAAAAAAATACGAATAGGGCCGTTATTCATCAGAATACTGCAAAAATGTTTCAATAAATCTCGCGTTTTATAAACAAAATTGACGTAATTTTGGTGGGCAGATACAAAATTACAGTGATTTACAATTTACATTCATTAAAATACCCCATTATTTATCCGAAACTTAGTTTAGGCTGGCATTTTTTTGCTTATCTTGAAATTCTAGTGCATTAGTCTTTAGTATACAGGATGTCTGGAACAGAATGGACTGTGCTATACGTAACTGAAAATACCTTTGTACTATTATTTTGCTGCACCAAAGATGGTCATCATTTTCTTTTATTTCATTTTATAGTATAAATTCGTGACCTTAACACATATTTTTGTTTAAAACACAGACGTCACTTCCTAAACCAGTCTTTTGCTTTTTCTGTTTTGTCTTTCTTTATTATCAGAGATTTCAAAACATTGTTAATGATTTTAGAGCAACTTAGTTTTTAGTGAGATTTAACTTTTTCAATTTTACAAAAAATAAACTGACGTTTCTCAAAATCTACATAAAAAATGGCAAAAAGCAAATCACCGTTTCAGGTACTTATTCATGGGGACTACTATACAAGGTGTTAAAAAAAGAGTGTAAAATATTTCAGGAGGTAATAGTATGAACCAAAATAAGCAGAAAAGTCATAATAAACATGGGTCCGCAAAGTAACGGTTGCGGAGATATGGACCACTATGCGTTTTTCAAACATTTTATTTTATTAGGAATAAACCGACAAAGGAAGCTTTTAACAAACAAAAAACAAAGTTACAGAAGATGTTCAAAGTGCCCTCCGTCCATTTCCAAGCAGGCACGACATCTTCGTCTCAACGATATTCGAACTCTTTCGAAAACACCCTCCTTGGTTTGGATTTCTTGACACTTTTGATTAATCCGTAGCTGCAGCTCTTCCAGGCTATTTACAGGAGTACCATACACTAATGTCTTCAAATATCCCCAAACAAAGAAATCTAGAGGGTTCAGATCAGGCGATCTTGGAGGCCATAAAACAGGTCCGGCCCTTCCTACCCATCTATGTGGAAAAGTTTGGTGTAAATGCTCTCTAACGGCCATGGAAAAATGAGCTGGAGCACCATCATGCTGGAACCACATTTGTTGCCTCTGATTCAAAGGAATGTCTTCCAAAAACTCATACAGTGTGTTCTGCAGAAAGTTGAGGTAAGCAGCGCCTGTTAATCGGTTTGGTAAAACAACAGGACCTAGAAACCTGTCACCTACAATACCCATCCAAATGTTTAATGAAAAACGTGCCTGATGTCCAGATTCTATTAGAGCATGAGGATTTTCGTCGGCCCAAATATGCGTATTGTGAAAATTAAACACTCCATTTCTTGTGAACCCGGCCTCATCAGTAAAAAGAATGTTTGCAAGAAAACGAGGGTCTTCAGCATCATGACGTAGAAACCAGCGGCAAAAAACCAAACGTGCTTGATGATCATTTATTGGATTTAAGGCCTGTACTCGTTGCACATGGTATGGATAAAGCAGTTGCTCGTGAAGGATTCTCCAAACAAGAGGACCACTAATTCCTACCTCGGCTGATATTCTCCGCACACTCGTACCTGGATTCTGCTCTACCAGTGCTAGAATTTCTTCTTCTGCTCTAGGAGTGGATACCGACCTTGGTCTTCCGGATAAATGGCACTGTTTGCTCAAGGAACCGGTATCACGCAATCTTTGGTGAATTCTTCCAAACATGCGTTGTGAAGGAATCTGGCGATTTGGATAAGCGTCAACATAAAGACGTCGCGCTTCGGTGGCGTTCCCATTAGCACGACCATACATGAAATGCATGTCTGTTAATTCTGCGTTAGAGTAACCAGCCATAGCGAAAGAAAACTTGTGCATTGAGAACAACTGTCAAATACGTACTGTTTATTTCACTAAACATCAACCAACTATTATAACAAAATACACAACGTTTTTGCAAAATAAAAAAAGGGGCTAAAAAACATAAAACATTCCATATCTCCGCAACCGTTACTTTGCGGACCCATGTTTATTGAATATTTTACACTATTTTTTTAACACCCTGTATTTAAGGTAATAATATGTTCAACTTCGGCTATCCTAAATTTTTGCCTTTATAAATTTCCTTACCCTAAACAAATTAAACAGTTATTTTATAGTCCTTAAGGAAGCAATATTATACTGAGGTAATGTGATTTTATTTTAAATTAATGTAAGAACATTTTCGGAAATAAAATAAAGTACTATACGTACTTCTTTAGTTTTTAATAACTTTTTCAGTATTGATCTTTTGAAAATATCCTTTACTGCCGTTACCGTTAACTTATTTATAATCTTTTTGATTTGCAGTTCTTGGTGGTACACATTCTTCGTAAAATGCCACTCTGACGACGACGACAAACCGTCCTGGGAACCAGAATTCTGGCAGAAATACTGCCCACACCCCTTTTTCCCAACATATCGTCAGTGCTCTAGGATAATTAGTCTAGGTCTCATTGGTGGGTTTGCCTGGTGCACCCTCTATGCGATAGTTGGAGAGACAGCAGCGCCTCCTGACGGACAACTTTTTCAACTGATACTGCTTAGCATATGCGCGCATTTTGGGGGATGGTTGATAAGTTTGACGACGTTGCCAGCTTTGGTCGGTATGTTGTCTACAGGGCTGGTATTTCAAAATGCTGGCATTATAAATATTAATGAATCGTTTACAGAAATTATAAATGAATTAAGGTAAGATATATAACATTGAAAATTGAAATTACAAATTGTTTGTATAAAAAATGTTGACTTTTTGACGTGTTTGTTTGTGTCCAAATTTGTATCACTGGTGACTAGATTACATATCCTTATTTGATCGAAAACATACAGTTAAAAATGCTTAAAAACCGAATGACTCGATAAAAGGCAGGAAAAAGTTGTCTCATCTAGTTATTACAATTTTTTTATTTAGTTGGGAACTATATTCAGTGTTGTCATTAATTTCATGTTTTATATATGAAATGTACTAAAGTTTCTTGTTTAATTTGGTTTTTGTTTAATTTGTCTTTTTTATTGCATAAGGTGCAATGAAACAATAAAGACATTTTTACTATAGAACGAAATTTCTGAACATATGGCATCGCTGTAATAGAACTTGGACGACGCACTGTTTATCGCTGTCTTATAAATGCATATGCATATACGTATCTCTCTCGCTTCTTGAGGCGGAGCTCATTTGACGTACGAATACACTTAGATGTTATTCTCGTACACTTTTTCTTAATGGGTGTTTTGAGTGTTCCTGTGTAAATAAGTTAATTACTGCTATTGGATCTTTATTAAAATAAAAACCCCGTAACTGAATTTGTAACCGTTTCTAAAAAGGAACCCGCACGTCTCCACAATGTGACGATCCATTGTAATCGGAGGTCATTCAACTCTCAAGCATTTTTAGATAGTATACTTGTAGATGATGTAGATGTTAATTCATTTTGTCCTTCCCTATTATTATTCCTTCGTATTATTCCTTCAGGCTTCATTTTTCATTTTTTATGTATCTGTACATAGATTAGTACTTTACTTTATTCTTGCTTCCGTCTCTGTTTCTTATTTTTGACGACCAGATCAACTCACTTGACCTCCACATAAAATGCCTCTCTTTGGGTTGGATTTCTGTAAATTTTAAACATTTTTACCAAAGCTATGTGTATATCTATGTCATTTTATAAATTTTTATAAATGATTTTCAGCCACGTCGCTTTAGTAGTAATCCTTATTCGAGCAGGACTTGACTTAGATCCTCCAGCACTGCATAGGTTAAAATATACTGTTATTAAATTATCCCTGATCCCATGGGTTACTGAAGCAGCAACTGTTACTGTTTTATCGAAATTCTTATTGGATATCCCGTGGGATTATGCCGTACTTCTAGGTAAGTAGAAGAGTTCTTCTTAATGCAAAAGATATATTTGTTACCAGAACTTTGATCACTAAAAAAATGATATCCCAATTTCTATTCATCTGTATGTTATGGTAACTGTGTGATCTGTTATGTTTCATATTATAACAGACTTACAGAAATTATTAATAATTGTATATAATTCGTGAACGAATCAGTAAAAGTAGTAAAAAACGTTCTTCTTCCAGTTTCTGACTGATGAAATTAAATAAAAAATTCGAATGCTTTTGTTTCCTTAAATTTGCATTACATAATCAATATCTAACCCAGTTATCAACAGACTCCATTTTAAATGACCAAAGTGTGTACATTAGATACAATTAGAGTATAAAAGAGATGTAACCTAGTTTGTCACAGTTAGTTTCACCAAATTAGATGATAGTGGTAAAGGACAGTCCGTGAACTTTTGGAACATTTAACCACATTTTTATAATAAAATTGTTTAATTTATCCTAGTAATTTTCTTTTATTACGTTTTTAAGTTTTTTTAATTCTTTTTCCATCTTCCAAAAGCATGTAATTCAACAACATAAATAATCGAAAATAATGTGAATGGGAATAGAAATGCGTAATGCGTATTAACAACGAACGGAGTGATTTTTACACAATATGTTCTCAATCTCACATACTCTAGATTTTCTCATTAAAAAATTGTGTTGATAAGCTCATTTGTTTGTTAAAATCTTAAATTTAGTAAAAATTCAACACCACAATAATTTCTCTAACAAATAACCTTGAATTTACATAGTTATATTTTACTATGTAAATTTTAAGTAAATAACGGCCTTTGCCAAATAATTCTCAGAGACAACAAGACATTATAAATAAATAAGATACTACACAAGATACCATACTAAATAAGATACTGATAGATGTCATATACAAGATTTATTTGTGAAATTAAAAGAAATAGGTAAAAAGTTTAATATTAGAACACTTTTTAAACCGATAATACTTTGCAATTATATCAAAAACTATACAGTGAAAGTATTTGTGAGTGTAAGTTATTTTTGGTATGTTGGGGAAATTCGAAAATCTTTCAATATTAGAATAGGAGAAAATCGAGCTTACATTAGAAATGGAGCGTTAGAGAAATAGAAAATTTACGAACATGATTGTATGGGAAAATAGTCATGTTATTCAAAAGAACAACACAAAAATATTTTAAAGAGAAAGTAATTCGACAAAGAAAAACTACAATAACTGCAAAAGGATAAAAACTCTGTATATATCCCTACGGAAAGTAGATAAATAAAACAAAAAAACTGTCACTTTTGATTTTAGGTTATTTTATCTAGAGTTTGAAAACATTAAACATTAAAACTTATAACATAATGCTAATAGTATAATAGTGAATAATCTACTTTCCTGGTGTGAGTTATTTGGGGCGAGGTAAAACTAATTTTACAATCTACTTAATTCAGTGTAGTAGAAATATTAAATATTAAATAAAGATGTTGGTGGCGTGGCATGTTTCTTCACTTATTCCTTTTTTTTTTTTGTACCAGCGTGTTTCTAATTGTATTTATTATTTTCAAGTTTATTTATGATTTGAACTATAATGTACTGTAAAATAAATAAAAACACATTTTAATCCAAAAAATCTACTTTATATACAGGGTGTCCTGGTACTTGATACAAAAAAGTCGAATACAAATAGCTGAGGTCAAATTAATATCAGTTCTTGATATAAATTTTTTTCATACGGGCCTTCGTTAACAAGTTACGGGCCCTCAAAGGTGAAAATTAAAAAAATATTTTTAATTCCAGTAATTTCAGTATGATGCAAATTTGGTGATCGGTAATACATGGTACAATTGGTTTTTGATGTTGTAAGTGAAACTTCATCATGCCCAGAACGCCAGGGTCGGACTATGCCCAATGGTTAACAACCCAGAGTTTTTTCATATACGACGATTGCAATCTGCCTGCATCAAAAATAAGTTCCCCTTTTTTTAACTTTTTAATTTTGACCTTTGAGGGCCCGTAACTTGTTAACGAAGACACGTATGAAAAAAATGTATATGAAGAACTGATATTATTTTGAACTCATCTATTTGTCCTCGACTTTTTTGTATCAAGCACAGGGACATCCTGTATATTTACTTGTATATAGGTATTTTAATATTCTGAAAATGACGTGGAAAATTTCAAGACACGCCTCTGCCGGTAAATTGTTACAGTAGTCCGATAACAGATCTTTATTGGCATATTCTTTTCTATGAATTATTGTACGGACTGTATTTGCGTTATGCAAAAATTAAAATTCATCTCATTTTTCAATCAATTAAAGAGCACACCGAAGGGATATTAAACATCCTGTTTATACGCATCCATCAATCTCGATTAACGTCTACATCTATATGATCTCATTCTTAAAAACAGTAGGAACACAATTCCCAAAGTCATTTAAGCATAATTTCAAAAGAACAGAACTTGATGTAATATTGTACATACTCGTATTTATTAACATTATCTTTATCAAGCAGATACAGTAAATTAGTTCATGACAATAAAAACTAAAATGTATCTACAGGTAAGGAATTATAACAGGTTTATTTTCGATTTTATTGTTGAATTTTATATCCGCATCATATAACCTGACGTGACTTTGAAACAAAACGAAAGTCTGATATGATTTGTTTAAAATTTTCCTTCCATTTCCTTAGTATAGGTAGAGCCCAAAATATGGAAAACTTAAAACATTTTGAGATGAAGAAGATTGGATAACTTGTCAATAAAAGAATAAAAAGAACATTAAATCTGATCCATTACTAAATGAATTGCATTAATAATAAATTTAATATACTAAACTGAACAAAGTATTATAAATAAATCACGATTTTATTATTTTATTACAAATATTACCACATAACCTCATTTTAAGTTTTATGGGCATAATTATTTTAGATATTATTTTATTAGCCTGGTTAAATTAGTTAATGCTACTATGCTTAAGTTGTGACAATCGTTATATTTCCAGATTTGAGACACCTCGATATTGTCTGTTTTTTTTTTATTATAAGGAACGTATTTTTCTAATGACGTGCCTCTTTTACACGGATTATCTGATTGGTGTCAAGTTTGACATTTTATGGTAAAATTACAGCAAAATATAGTAATTGCACTGTTGCTAGATTGCCACACCCCTTCAACTACAACAGAAAACTTTTGTTTAAACAGGACACATTCTTTTGGATATTCTTATCTTATTGTAAAGAAAACCGATTGATCATCAAACTATAAAACTACAAAAATATTAAGTTTCCTGAAATGTATTAAAAAGCGACACTATGGCAACAATGCAATTCCTCACCAGATTGCCTTTAACAAATTTGACATCAATCATACAAGTCATACAAGTGAGGACATATTATTATAAAAAAAACCAGAAACACAAATATGTTCAATTTCACCAAAAAACATTCCTTAATTTTGACCATTCGCCATAAAATAGTAGTATAATTATTTTTCAGGTACAATAGTAGCAGCTGTAGCACCAGCAGTGGTGGTACCATGCCTCTTTCGCTTAAGGTCCAAGGGCTATGGAGTGGCAAAGGGTATACCCACATTGATAATCGCTGTGGCCAGCATTGGTGACTCGACATCAGTAGCTATCTTCGGGGTTATAAAGAGCATAATGTTCTCTGACATTTCAGTTACAAGCGTGATTATTCAAGGTCCCATATCTATTGTTGGAGGTATTTAAGACAGATGGATTTTTTTGTATTAAAAAGCTAGGTTCTTTCATTCCAATTCAGGCAAAAGTTAAAGAAATTATCTCAGTAATATATCTTAGCTCGTGGTTTTAGTACATGATGCTGCTTCAAATTACTTAATAAAAAAATATTACTAGCAAATATTTACTAACAACATAATACTATGCATTATACTCAATCAGCAACTTGGGAAGCTTGTCTGTATGTGCGTCAGTGGCCATGACTTTTGAGAAGTAAATTAATTGCAATCATTTCCCTTGGTTCTTATCAAATAAAATTATGTATATTCTTTGATACGCTAGAAAAATTCCACTAAGCAAGCTCTTAAAAATTCAAAATAATAACCTAAACACTGTTTTCGAGAGCAAGTTGCGTTAATAATTTAGTGGGATTTCTGATCAAAGTTTAACACAATTTTTTGAATATTGATGTTTTGTTTCTTTACTGTAACATCTTTAGTATTATCTACCGGAAATAAATTTTCGGTGTTATGAAAGATTTTAATATGTACCAGATATACATAATAAAAGAAAGATCAGCAAATTATACCTACGTATTTCCGACAATCATTAAATGCCTCAATAAAGAGACGAAACGTCGACATTCAGAAAAGTGTGATTTCTTTAAACTGTTTCCAAAAATCCTACTGTATTAACTGTTACTGTTGTATATCTTAATAGTTATTTTGCTTAGTCTCTTTGATAAATCTAAATAACATAGCTATGGTTTCTATTCGAAAATATTGATGCATAAGTTTGTAGCGCTTTTATTGAACTGAAAATGTGTTTCTTTTTAATCAATAAATCAAAGATATGTTGTCCTCCATTGTCTACGATTGCCTCCCAACGATTTAACAGTTATTCCATTCTGCACCTGAAGAAATCTGGTGATTTGGAACTGAAAATTTACCAAGCCAAATTTGAAGCGCGATTTTGTCATTAAAGCAGATTCCTCGAAAGTAGCAAAATCTGGACAATATTTCCGATTCTACTCTTAAATAGCTCCTTTTGTGATATTAGCAGTATAAGAGGGAGCGTTATAATGCTACAAAATAGGGAATAAACCTAAACTGTGGCTATTACATTCCTCGAATGCAATCCACAGTAAACAGTGCCATCTTTATGACACCAGATGTACATCAGCTTTCCATTCGTGCTAAGCCATTATGTGATCTTGGCGTTGATACAAGTCCACCATTTTTCGTCAGCAGTAACAAACAAAAGCTAGCCAAATAGCATGAATGTTGAACATCTGGTTTCTGTTGTTTTCCTTCCAAATTTTGGACTTTGTATATGTAGCGCGAATGGTCAAAGTTTATTATACTATCCTATTGCTGAATTGAGTTTTGTCAAAATTATCTTCTTTAATGTGGGAAAGCAGTAAATGACACAAATGGCTCTAGTGTCTGTCTATGTCCGTTTGCTTCTCCTTGATTCAATTTCTTTTGCAAATAATTTAAAATCCCTGCACAAATTCACACGTTCGAAGGCTTTTCAATTAAATAATAGTATGACATTCAAACAACTTTAATATAAATATGTCTAACTGATTTCCAACGCATTTTTGCCATTGGAACCAGAAGCACTGCAAACTTATGCATTATCCCAGTACAAAAATGTTAATACTTTCAAGCTGGTTGCAAAATTTTGAACAATTTTCAGGTGTTGGCTTCGGTATAATGTGGGGACTCATATGCGGCTACGTTCCCGAAAGAAACGATCCTTTCATAACCCCATTAAGGATACTCCTGCTGATATCCGGTGGAATGGTAGCAGTCTTTACCAGTGAAATCATAGGCTACGGTGGAGCAGGACCTCTAGGTTGCGTCAGCGCTGCTTTCGTTGCTTTATCCTGCTGGTCCAAGCAGGGTTGGGGGATTGAGGACAACCCTGCTGCCACTGCTTTCGAGATTTTCTGGATGATCTGCCAGCCAGTTTTGTTTGGTATAGCCGGCGCTAGGATTAAGCTGAATGAGTTGAACGGCAATGTGGTGTCAATCAGTCTTGGGATACTAGTCACTGGTGTGGTGGTCAGGATCTTGGTGACCACCTTGGTTGGAATTGGGTGCAAGCTGAATTTGAAGGAGAAAATTTTCGTGGCCATAGCTTGGATGTGTAAAGCTATAGTGCAGGTAATATTATTTATAGGCAGGCAAGTTATTTTTATTTTAGCGAAGCCAAAACCGAAACAAATTCAAAATCTGCAGACATCTGTTGTCTGAAATAATTCTTTCTATCTTACAAAACAAAAATGTTTAATTCCATTCCAACATCCACTAATGGAAAAAACCGTGCCAGGACCTTGTAGAGAATTCATTCAAGTTTCTGAAACCCACCGTCGATTTTCTGTGCAACCATTGGTTTCTGAGATATCGATGAACAAAGAGAAAATGATCCATTTTCATTCAAAGTCCGATAGCTCAGCGAGAAATGGTCGTATCGAGACCAAAAAAAAAA